TCAGTCAGCGTGCAGGAGTTGACTTCTTTCAGACCTTTGCTCCGAGCCCGAAGATGACTACTCTTCGGGTACTACTACACGTAGCAGCACAGCGTGACTACAAGCTGCACTCACTCGACTTCTCCACGGCATTCCTCCATGGCAGTCTACACGAGCAGGTCTACCTACCCCTCCCCCAGGGCTTCTCCGGGTACCATTCCCCCTGGCTCTGAGTGGCTCCTTCGGCGCCCTGTCTACCGCCTACGCTAGGTGTCCCGTGAGTGGCACGACACGCTGCGTGCTACACTTGATGACCTGCAGTCCTTCCCGTCATCTGCGGACCCCTCATTCTTCGTCCGCTCCAGCCAGTCTCCGTTCTACATCCTTGTTTACGTAGATGATTTGGTCTTTGCTACTGTAGACAGAGACACACCTACACTGACCTAGGAGAGCTGCACCGCTACCTTGGCTTGCAGATCTCCAAGGACAGAGCAGCACGCACCATCACTCTCACACAGTCACACTTGGTGCGCCAGGTCCTTCAGAGGTTCGGCCTTCAATTCTCTTCCGCACAGCCCACCCCTCTGCCAATAGACCACAGACTCTTTGCTCCAGTTTTGGAGGAGGCTGTAGAGCCTAGTGGTCCTTACGCAGAGCTGGTGGGTTGCCTCATGTACCTGATGACTTGCACTCGTCCAGATCTTGCATACCCTCTCAGCATCCTGGCCTGCTTTGTGGCCTCTGGCAGACACTGACCACAGCACTGGTCTACAGCTAAGAGGGTTTTGCGTTATCTAGCAGTACATCAGGCATGGGGCTAGTGCTAGGAAACGCAGACCAGTGGTCCTTACCGGGCACACAGACGCTTCTTGGGTAGATGGCGCCGAGACTCTCAGGTCCTCCCAGGGTTACTGTTTTAGCCTTGGTGCAGGTGCTGTCTCATGGAGGTCGACCCGCTTATCATCTGTTGCCCTTTCTAGCTGTGAGGCTGAGATCTACGCCAGTGCCATGGCGGCACAGGAGCTCCGCTCGCTGACTTTCTTGCTCACATACTTAGGTGAGCGGCCTAGCTTTGCCCCGGTTCTGTACGCTGACAACAGGGCCATGATCCTCCTGTGTCAGGAGCCCAGACTTGAGGGCAGAGCGAAGCACATCCAGCTGCGGTACTTCTTCATGCGCGAGCTACAGCAGCGTTGCCAGGCCCGCGTAGTACACTTGGCCTCCGGTGCCAACACAGCTGATATCTTTACGAAGGCGCTTGCGCCTAGAGATCATCAGCGGCACTGTGTACAGCTTGGATTCATTCCTGTAGCACCTCATTTGCTAGGACCTTGATTGTGTATAACTCTATATTTTTCATCCTGACTGGCCTTGTGGCTTCCTCCCAGTGGCTGGACTAGTAGTGCCGCCCTGGTCTTTTTCTTGCCGTGTTTGTACTCTTTTGACTGGTCTTTAGACCCCTGCCTCAAAGGTTGGACTAGTAGTGCCGCCCTGAGCTGTTTGTCTCTCATCAGGCCCTGCCCTTGTCTAGTCAAGGGGTTGTGTCAAACATATTTGTGTATGTTTAGTAGACTACATAGGGTCTTGCCATAGAGAGTACAACCCACTAGCTATATACCTCTGTATACTCTCATTCTAGTTTTTCTTTCTAACTCTGAGATGGAGTTGTACCCTCTAAGGACACAAACCTATCGAGCCTATAACTTCTACATACAAAGAATATATATAAGTTGACAAGCTGAACATTGGACCACTTCAATTAAAGCCCAGGTCCCAAATTAGTCACACATGCGTCAAACTGGGCCCAGTTTGATGCTGACAGCGCTCACGAACTAACCAAGAAAAAAAAGAACTAACTACCACTTCGCCACAGTGAGCGGCAAAATCGAGGTTGCTATATCTACGGTAGAAATCAGCTTCGCAAATTAGGCCTAGTTTTATTCGTGCAGTTTCGACCGTTGGATCGGGCTTGCCAAACCCGACTCCCGGAAATCCCTGCTCCCCCTAGGTTTCTATTGGGCTGAGTTGAGCCCAAGGATCTTTTCAGAAGGCTAAGTCCTTGTAACAGCGTGCTTGATAGCACAGCGGAAGTCTTGAGTTGAACCCTTGTACCGGTATATGAGAACAAGTGATTGATTATAGCAAAGGGATACAAGGTTTTATGTAATAATACAAGAGTATATGAAGAGTCTAGTCTAGCTGTTCGTGCACTTCAAGGGGTACATGTAAAATTATATATTGTGTTATATAATTGGTAGGCTTGGTAGGTTATCGAACTCTACTGTAGAGGATACAATCCCCTCCTTGTATCCCTCTCTCTTTCAAGTCTACACTCTCCTTTCTCTCGTCAACTTCTCGTCTCCTAGCTCCTAAAACCTCTCGCCATTTCATGGCACCTACGTTCCACCTATTCTAACATTCTAACATGGTATCAGAGCAGGTTGCCCTTCCCGGGCCTGCTCCCCACGCTTCCGTCGTGTACTCGTTCGTCGTTCGTCCCTACCGGGCCGTTGTCGCGGCCATGCCGAGCAGTCGACACTGCTCCGTGATGCTGCCGTCGCAGCCCCGACGCGGGGCGTTGATGTCGCACCGCTGCGTCGGCGTCGTGGCGGCGTCGTCGACATCAAGCTGTGGCGGCGTCGTCGACATCAAGCCGTGGCGGCGTCGTCGACATCAAGCCGTGGCAGCGTGACGGCACCATCGACCTACCGTCGCCGCGTCGATGTGCCGCCGCGGCATCGCCACCGCGCTGTGGCGGCGTTGTCAGAATGTCGTGGCAGCGTCGTCGGGCTGCAGCCGGCCGCACGACGCCTGTGGCGCCGCTAGACCTGCCGCCCGCACGCCAGCCGCGAGCGTGATGTTGGATCACGCACTGCCCCCCCCCCCCCCCCCCCCCCCTCCTCCTTCCCCTGCATCCCCTCCTCCTCGCCAACGCCTGACTCGACGGGGTCCCCACCGTCGTGAAGACTGGACACGCCGCCGAGAGGGCAGGGGCCGCTGCCGTTGCCGCTATTGTCAAAGCCGCTGTCGTCGTCGTCGCTGGCAATTGCCGCCGCACGCCGCCATCGCTGCCGCTGTCGTCACTGCCGCGGCTGCTGCCGTAGCCATCTCACGGGCCGTGGGATTGGCCCCTCTAGAGTAATCATGGCTGCTGCCTGGAATGGGGGTGCTAGGTTAGGGGGTGTGGGTGTGTGTGGGCTTGCCACTACCAAGTCTAGGGGGTGTGCTAAATTATATATTGTGTTATATTACTGGTAGGCTTGGTAGGTTATCGAACGCTACTGTAGAGGGTACAATCCCCTCCTTGTATCCCTCTCTCTTTTCTCTCGTCAAATTCTTGTTAAAAGACTAGTTAGGAAGAAAGGTGGCCATGAAATGGCGAGAGGTTTTAGGAGCTAGGAGAGTTAGGAGAGAAAGTTGATGAGAGAAAGGAGAGAAGGCTAGAAAGAGAGAAGGATACAAGTTCAATAACCTACCAAGCCTACCAGTTATATAACACAATATATAATTTAACACATCTCGCCTCCTAGCTCCTATGTTCCTCCCGCCATTTCATGGCGCCTACGTTCCACCTATTCTAGCATTCTAACAGTGCATTCCCTTTTGCGACTCGATAAGGCGACTCTAATAACCACCCGTACTGTAATATCCGTACAAACAAACTTCCGCTTGCTGCACCTGCTGTTGTCTCTCTCGCTGACCCCTCAGTGGGTCCTATCGTCGCTCGCAGTTCCACGTCCCTTCCCTGTCCAGCAGTTCCCTTGGGCTCCCTTACAGGCCTCCACGTTCCCTCGTTCTCGAGGAACCTGGTTGGTGTCGGCTCTCTCCAGGACCTCGGCGTCACCACTATGTTCCCCGGGCACGAGCGGTTCGCTGTCTGTTCTGAGGCTGTCTCAGGTTCCCCCTTGCGACGTTCCTCTGGGACCCGGTGTCCGGATTGTTCACCCTAGACACCGCTTCCCCCCGGTTGGTGCATCCTCCTAGGTCGCTGCAGCTTGCTCGTGTCGGTCCCTCACTCACCCGTCCCTTCTGTGGCACCACCGCTTAGGTCACCTTGCTCTCCCTCGTCTGCGTCACATGTCTCAGCACGGTCTTGTCTTAGGCCTCCTCGCGTCACGCCCTACCCTCCCCCCCTCGACTGCGCCACCGTGCACGCCCTGCGTCGAGGGCCGGCTCCGCCGTGCTCCTCACTCCTCCTCGCTGCGTCCTGCTACTGCCCCCCTTCAGACCCTACACCTGGACGTTTGGGGCCCTGCCCCCGTCCCCGGACCGCGTGGTGAGCGTTACTTCCTTGTGCTCGTCGACGACTACACGCGCTACACCACGGTGTTTCCCCTGGAGCGGAAGGCCGACGTGCCCGACGTTCTTTTACCGTGGGTTGTGGCTGCGCATCTTCACCGCGGTCTCCCCGTGTTGTGTCTCCACTCAGACCGTGGCGGCAAGTTCGCCTCTGGTCGGCTTGGACAGTTCTGTCGTGCGGAGGGCATCACCCAGTCGTACACCTTGCCGGACTCGCCACATCAGAATGGGGTTGCTGAGCGCCGCATCGGCTTGGTCATGGAGGTCGCCCATACCTCCATGATTCATGCCGATGCCCCCATTTTCTGTGGCCGTTCGCTGTTCGCTACGCTGCTCACCGGCTTAACTTGTGGCCACGCTCCAAACGGCCGCAGGTTTCACCGACCCTCCTTTGGACCGGGTCCCCCGGTGACGAGTCTGCGTTCCACGTCTGGGGCTGCCTTGCTCACGTTCGTGCCTCTGGCACGGACAAGCTCACTGCCCGCAATGTCCCCTGTGTCTTCCTCGGTTTCCCCCTGGACTCGTCTGACTGGCTTTTCTACCACCCGCCGTCTCACCGCTTCCTCCACTCCCGTGACGTCACCTTTGACGAGTCTGTCTCCTTCTACCGTCGCTTCCCTCACCGAGGTCTCCCGGTTGCCCCCCCCCTATTCCTGGCTCCCTCTCCCCCGGTAGCCCCTGCTCCTCTCGCGCCTCGTCCTGCCCCGTCTGGTGTCTCTCACGTCACTCCCTCCCGTCAGTTGTCCCCGTTGAGGAGTCTGCTGACTCTGGTGGTACCCCCGGCCCGTCCTTGCCGCGTCCCCCTTTCCCGGTGTCTCCGCCTCCCCTGTCGCATTCGCCGACTCCGCCGCAGCCGCCGCCGCCGCCGCCACCGCCGCCGCCGCCGTTGCAGCCGCCGCCGTCGCCGCCGCTGCCGCCGCCGCTCTTGGCCTCTAGGGGTGCTGGCGTTGAGGAGGGTGTTCGTCCTGCGGCTCCTGGGGGTGCCGCTGGTGTTGGAGGGGGTTCTCGCTCTGGGGGTGTTGGTTCTGGGGGTGCTGCTGTTGAGTGTTCTGCCGGCGGTCGTCCTGCCCCTGCCGGTCCCAGGGTTGCGGCCCAGCAGTCGCCGCCGTTCTCCGCTCTCCGCCTGCTCGGCCTTCCCTCCCCTGACCGCTTGCCGGTGTCTCCCCCACGCCTTCTGACTTTCCTGTCTACAGTCTTGTGTTCCCGCCGCCGGACTCGTCTCCGGCCCGTCTTCCTCCTCGTTTCCCTCCTGTGTCCCCTCCGCTGTCTCCTGACCCTACACCTCCGTCCCACGTTTGGTCTCGCCGTCCCTCCCGTGCTCGTTCCGTCTCTCCTGTCCTGCGCTCCCACCCTATGTTGCTCCGTTCCCACTCGTCTCGTCCTCCCCTCCTCCCGTCCCCTCCTCCCTCGTCGCTTGCTGTTGCACCTCCTCCGTTGTCTGACTACCTCCGTGCCACTCGTCCCCTTGTCCCTCGGGTTCTTGCCTCTCTTGTTATCGACTCGTCTGTTCCTGTCTCGCGCCTTGACGCGCTTGTCGCTGCTGTCGCTGACTTCGCCTCTACCCGCCACCTTGACTACGCTACCGCTCTGGTCTCTGACCCTGCCCGTCCTCCGTCCGTCGGGGGTGCTCCTGCCCTTGGCAGTGACGTTCTAGATGACAGGCAGTACGAGCTTGCTTTCCTTTCCGAGGCCGCTCCCCATCTCTGCTCCATGCTGTTAGTCCTGAGGGTGACCCAGACTCCTTCGACATCCCGACCCTCGCACCTACGCTGAGGCCACCTCGGGACCTTGGGCCTCTCAGGGGATAGCTGCCATGGAGCAGGAGATGGCATCTTGGAGGTCCACCGGCACTTACATCGACGCAGTTCCCCCGCCTGGGGTGAACGTAGTCGATGGCCGCTGGCTCTTCAAGATGAAGCGCCCCCCTGGAGAGCCGCCTGTCTTCAAGGCGTGCTACGTGGCCAGAGGCTTCAGTCAGCGCGAGGGGGTTGACTTCTTCCATACTTCGCCCGACCCCGAAGATGACCACTCTTCGGGCGCTGCTACACGTAGCAGCACAGCGCGACTACAAGCTTCACTCCCTCGACTTCTCTACTGCCTTTCTTCAAGGCAGCCTATACGAGCAGGTCTACCTACGCCGACCACAGGGCTTCACTTGTACCTTCCCCCTGGGACCCAGTGGCTTCTCAGGCGCCAGTTCTACGGCCTGCGCCAGGCTCCCCGAGTGGCACGACACGTTGCGGGCCACTTAGCAGACCTGCAGTTCTTTCCGTCCTCTGCATACCCTTGCTGTTTGTGCGCTCGGCCAGACCCGTTCTACATATTGTCTAC